GTCCCCAGGGGATGCTAGGGCATTGCTGCCTGCCAGCCAGGACGCTTGCTGTTAACACCGGCAGGATCAGCACGACGGGGTAGGGGGGCAGGTGCAGAAGGACCTCGGTCTGCAATCCACAGGTGTTTCTGGTCTCTAGACCTCAAGTTTAAAATGTCAGGGTCTCTTTTAGGTTTAACCCTCTAAGACCATTCACTCCAGGGAGAGCATGTGGGATTTGTGAACCCTTTCCCTGGAAGTTGTGTTTCTTTACTTTTTAATATCCTATAGCTTTGCTTAACTTTCTGGAGGGGAAAGTCAGGCACCAGAACACTGTGAGCCTGGCAGATGCTCAGAGATACTGAGGCAGGCAGGGCCCACTAAATGCCTTCTGGACCCGGACATGTTTTTGCATCTGATGTTCCACATTGCTGAGCAGCCACAGCATGAAAGGGTGATCTGAGGTGTGGGGAAGGCCCAAGGCCATGCCCCGTGGGCCCAGAGGCAGGCTGGGATTGATGGGCAGCTGCCCATTCACCACAGTTGGAATATGGGTGGGTCTTGCTCTAATCTGAAGTAAAGGGGCTTTAGTTTGGAAAGCTCATGAATGTCTAGACACTTACCTTTAATCAGCAGGTGGACCTCTGGCTGGCTATCTCAGGACAGAATTCTGGCTCTGCTTAATTCATCATGCAGACATCTCAGACATTTAGTTAGCTGAGTTTCAAGACCATGGCTATGCCACTTTACCCGCCTCAACAGCCGCTCTTCCAGGACTTGGCTACAGTTGCCACAGTGCCCAGCAGTGATAGGGCCAGAACAGTTGTAGCTAGCCAGTTGCATGAACCACAGCGGTCAGAACATGGGAGGCTGGGCCCGTGACTCAAGCCAAAGCACCCAGCAGTCAGCTTTGATTTCTCCCTTTTCCTCTTGCTCAGCATGTAGTCCTTCACCAGATCTATTTATTTTGTCCCCAGAAAGCTCTCAAATCTACTTCTCTCCACCCCCGCTGTCCCACCCCAGTCTGCCATACCATCTTCTCTTACCTGGACTGCCTACAGCAGGTGGATCCCCCTTGGCACCCTGTGCCTGCCCTGCCCTCTCCAGGCCACCCTCCCACCCCCACCGCTAGTATGAGCCAGATGTTTTAATTGCCCCCTGCTACTCTTAGAGCAAAGCCCATACTCCTCCCTGTGACCTGGAATGGCTCAGCATGGCCTACTTTTCCAAGCTGACCTTCCACCTCTCCTTAGTTCTCTTACTGACTTCCCTTCTGTTCCTTAAAACCTCAAGCCCTCCTGCAGGACTCTGCCTTCCTCCCACACACATGCCACTGGCTCCTTCTTGTTCTTTGGTCTCACCCCAGCTGTCACCTACTTGGAGAGGTTTCTTTGTCCAGCCCCTCTGAATAAACTCCTCCAAGGAGTCCCCAGCTCATTAGCATATGCCATTTCTTCAGTACCTACCACAATAAATGTTTATGGTGTTTGTGTACATTTTCCTTCATTCTTTTAAATAAATACCAATCACCTATCCTTGGACCCCCTAGTATGTGGTAGGCCTGGGATGTAGCATGAACCAAAGCTCTCTGTGCCCTGGAGCTTACATTCAAATGGAGAAGATTAGACACTAAGACAAATAAGTAAACAGACAATGTAATGTCAAGAAACAAACATGGCATGAAGAAAAACGGTCAGCAAATTGAGACAGATGATGCAAATAGTAGATGTCTGAAGACACGTAAGAACTAATCACTCACAAGAAAACATCACAGATAAATGGGTGATGGGTGTTCGATTGAAATTGGTTTTAAAGAAAACTATTGTAAGAAAATTAATTTTAAGCCATATCTCATAGCTTAAGTTCCAGGAGAATTAAAAAGTTAAGTGCGCAAACGAAACAATGAACTAGAACAAAACCTTACCTATGGTTGCCGAAGAATGGCAAAGTCCAAAGGATGGAAATGAACCCCGTGAAATCATTGCTGAACTGGATAGTAACTTACTGTTTCTGCTGTCAAAAGAAAATCATGAAATTAAGGAGGGAACAAATTGGGGGAGATACTTGCTGTAAATGGGAATAATAAAAAGGCCAATAATATAGCATGTGTCCTCAGTTCTAAAGCTCGCTTTCCTTGCATTTTGATGTCTCTTGAAATTGGGATATGCTTTTCAATCACTGTGTACATTTAATATGGTCATTAAAAATGTTAAATCAGTGGTGTATCTTACAAGTAGTAACATCTTACGATCAAAATGTGACCTTTTAAAAGAAATTTTCTCTGAGCACCTGGAGATGGATGCGCTGACCAGTCCCGGGATTCTGGGTGGGACACCAACAGAATATACTACTACAGAAGTAGTGTATTAAAAAAGGAAATTAATTCAGAAGATAATCAAGAGATAGGTTTTGACATATATTGAACACAGGATTTATTACCAAGGGCTTCTTGATTTTTATTTTGCTTCAGGGTTAAGGTGTTAGATCAGTTTTGGTAGAAGGAATATTTGCTCCTATGAAAGTCATCATGGCAGGTTTGCTCTGCAAAGGCTGTAAAGGTTCTTTTGGAAATTTTTAAGTTTTTATTGGAAAAAAAGGAGAAGAGAATTAGAGATGTAATTGGAAATAATTACCAAGAATGAGGTTTTATAATATCAACTTTGTCAAAAGAATGATCATTCCTACAGCTCTCATGCACTTTCATTCTAGATCTTCCTAAAATCATTTTACCCACTGGTATTTTCCTATAAATAAATACATTTTTTGCTAACAGTGCTTTGCATAGAATGTTCAATTATATAATGGTTGAATGTGTGTCATTTGTCAAAACCCAAGCATGTTCAACACCAAGAACAAACCGGAATGTAACCTGTAGGCTTTGCGTGATAATGGTGTGTGACTGGGGGCTCATCTGCCCCACTGAGGGGTGGGATGCTGATGGGGGAAGGGGGGTGTTGTATGTGCACTGGGGTAGAGGGAATATGGTACCTCTCTGGACATGCTGCTACATTTTGCTGTGAACCTAAAACTGCCCTGAAATGTAAAGTCTAGCACTGTGCTGGTCTCAGCCTATCAGTAGTATCACTGTCAGCTAGAAGTGCCTCACCCAGGCCCCAAGGAGCTTGTGCAGATATCTCCCCTTTCAAAGCCAGTATGAAGACTGGACCAGCCCTTGTGGTTCTTATTATGATAGCGTGACACTCTTCAGCAATAACCATCAGGAAACTGAAAAAGTAAACGTTTATTACAAGAAAAATGGAAATTACACAGCACATCTGGGGCTACCCAGCAAGGGGGGAGAGAGAGCACGGGCAGGGGCTGCTGGGGTGGGGTGTCTGCTTTTATTGGGATTCGTTGGGGGAGCCTGGGGCTTCAAAGACTTATTCTTTATTGGTAAATTTAAAACATAAGAGGAGGAATTTAAAGCATGGTGAAGAGAAAAGATGTGGTCCGAATGGTCATTTACCAGAATCAACCAAGATCTCTAAAACAAAGGAGCCCGAATATGGGGAGGTGGCCTGGCTCGTTATCAGGCTGGCGATGTTTGTTCTGCAGTGGCCCTCTTTAAAGTGGATGCCTCTTCAGCAGTCAGAGCTTACTGTGAGGGCTGACACTACATCTGTTTTAGAAAATATAAGTTACACAGAAAGCTGACTCCCCTGCTTGGTCCTGGTGCCTGTCCCCAAAGATAGAGGTGACATCTGGTGCAAATAATGTTCTCTTCAACTGGACATCCAGTCCCACCATCTCCAGCATGATTTATTTGTTCAGTGGGAAAGGAGGTTTGGAGATGTCATCTTGACAAGGCTGCCAGCACCTCTCAGAGGGGGTCCTTCATGGAGAAGAGTTAAAATAATCGGAGTATTCTATGACACCCATGTTCTTGAGCAAGCAGCATCCGAAACAGTGTATTTCATGGTGGAATATTACTCAGCCATAGAAAATAATGAAATCTTGCCATTCTCAACAACAACATACATGGACCTAGAGAGTATTATACTAAATGAAATAAGAGAAAGTCAAGCACTGTATGATTTCACCTATATGTGGAATCTAAGAAACACAAAAAAGCAAGACAAAATACGAAGAACAGACTCATAAACACAGAGAATTAGTGGCTGCCAGAGGCAAGGAGAGTGAGGATGGGCGAAGCAGGCAAAGGGGCTAAGAGGTACAATCTTGCACTCAGAAAATAAAAGTACAGGTTGGGGAGTATAGTCAATAATAATGTATTAACTTTGTATGATGACAGAAAGTAACTATATCTATTGCAGTGAGCATTTCATCATATAAATATTTAATCATCATGTTGTACACCTAAAACTAATATAATACTATGTTAACCAAAATAGTTTTTTTTTTAAATCAGTGTATTTTGTTTGAAGGTTTTCTTTTCATACTTGTCTGCACAGAGCTCAGGGAAATATTTCAAGTTAAAATACAGTAAGAATCCAGTGATAGCATCCATTGATGATACATTTCTTCAATGCCTTTTTTCATAGCATAGAATTCCCTCTGTGGTATGAAGGATACTTACATAGCACACACACGGGGTTTCAGATTATGAGGGCGCACACATGTGGGCGTGCACATGCGCACACACGCACAACACCTTCCTTAAAGGAATAAAACCATCACCCACTCCCTACAAAGTGGTTGACTCATTTCCACAATGCCTGTTGCTATTATGCAGATTCAGCCTAAAATAAAATTTAACATGCTAAGCTTTTAACCATTGGAGTTATTTTCTGATAGTAACATAAAAAATTCTTTTTGGGTTTTTTTTCTGTTCCTTCACCCTAATGGGCAGGTACCTCCCTTCAAGAAGATATTTCAAATTGAAGCTAATATGGATGAAAATGAAAACTAAAAGCCTTTATCAAATTACAGTGAGATTTACCCTATAAGCTGCTTAGCGTTTCTATAAGAACGTGACCTGCTGAGTGTTTCTTAGAAGTGTGACTCCCTGGAGATGAGAAGACATTTAATTCTGTGTATGGCTTGTCTTTTCCCCTCTGCAGGCCTTGAACCGGGGCATTGCTGCTGTCAAGGAAGATGCCGTGGAGATGCTGGCCAGCTACGGGCTGGCATACTCCCTCATGAAGTTCTTCACGGGCCCCATGAGTGACTTTAAAAATGTAGGCCTGGTGTTTGTGAACAGTAAGCGAGACAGGACCAAAGCCGTCCTGTGCATGGTGGTGGCCGGGGCCATCGCCGCCATCTTTCACACCCTCATAGGTAAGGCTGCTGACCGTCACTTAAGGACCTAGCTTTGGAAAGGTCTTACTCCGTTTAGTTTACCTAAATGTGTCTATTGTAATATGCGATTTCTTGTGTAATCGTTCCATACTTCTCATGAAAATTTCAAGAGACTGAAGGAGTGGAGATTGTGCTCCTACCTCGCTCAAGAAAAGATGTGTTTTGGTTCTCTGATTCCTAAACCCTGTGTCACAGAGGGAGGGATTTCGTTAGTTGGTTATTGGATCTAGGATTAGCATTTGGTAGGCAGGTGCTTTTGTGAGAGACATACCTGATTGTACAGACTCAATCTTAGGAATGATTGTTATTTAGGATTAATGCTTATCAGCAGTGAGAACAAATAACAGCTTGTTATATTAAAATTAGCTTAGGGCTTCATTCTGTTTCATTCAAATACAAGTAAATACTCTTGGCATAACACTCTTTCTGTGGAAAAGTAAGAAAGCTGTATCATACATACAGTGACCAGCCCACGTGTTCACCAAGACCTTAGAAAAGCACCTCCTTTAGAGACCAGGGTTTTTCTTCTGCTGCCTAGGGTGGAGATAAAACCCTAAGGGCATGATTTCAGAACTTCTTGGCTTTAAAATAGATTGGCTTACCTGGCACAAACACTGAATTGCACATCTGTTGTCCCCAGTTGCATAAAACCTGTGAAGGGCACTTCATACACCCACTGTGGGCCTAAAGGTGGCCTTGGTTGTATGAGACCCACGAATGTCAATGGGGAATAAAGAGAATCAACCCAGGCCATTTACATGTGTTCAGATGGCAGCTAACATTTGCTCATGTAACTGTGAATCTCAAAATAGAGACCTTGGTGGTTTTCCCTTTTAATAGAGTGTAGGATTTTGTGGTAAGAACTGTATGGAAGACAGGATGCCAGTCGTGGTGCAAATATTCAGAGTGCTGATCCTGGTCATTTAACTGGGGCTCAGAGCTTCCGGGTGTGGGGTGGAGAAATGATGCCCTTCTTTCCCTCAATTCATACCCTGAATACTAATTTGTGGACTGAGTTTTGAAGAAAACTTCTGCAGCTAGATTTGATCTGGGCCATTTTCAAAGGTGGTCTGTATATTTGAGAAAATTCCATAAATGAAAGGAATAGATCTAAGTACATTTTCATCTAAATAGGTCCATTAGTTCTGTATTGCTGCTAGTCTTTTCGTTTGAATTTCTAAGTAAATGTAACATTTCCTGTTTTGTCATGGTTGAATAAGACTTCTGGGACTAATAGCTAATTACTGAATTAGCTGTCAGTAATTACTGAAGAGAAAAGTGAGTGCACTGTGAGGAGCATGGAATCACTGAGATGAAAATGAAGATCATTTTCCAAGTCCAATCTCAGGTTTTCAATTTTAAAATACAGTCGTAAGATCCTAACTTTGAACACAAGTGATGCTACCTCATACCTATTAAACAATGGTTTTTCATCACTTTCAGTGTTTTCACAATTATACCTTTTTCCCTTGCAGCAAACAAATGCTCCCCACAATTGGTAAAAAAGAAAAGCACTTGTCAACTTCTTTCGCACACTTACCACTCAGATTTTAATGACTGGCCCTCTTATCTGTCCACCTCATTGCAGCTTTCAGCCTGTCTCTGACGGCCCTCTTGCCTATGCTCTGCGCCTTCCCTCCTCCTACGTTTTGTAATCCTGTAAGCTTTTCTATACCCAATCTTTGCCTGTTCTTTGTTTCCCATAATCTTAACCACCAGCTCCAGAGGGAATGGTGCTCTCTGGCCATGTCCCACCTTTTCCAGCATGATTTTCCTCCCATCAGTAAACACTCCCTTCAGTCTGTTTCTACTTTATGTGTCACATACACTAAACACCTATGCCCATTTTCACATCTTGGTAATGCTAAAAACAGCTACTTACGTTGCTACTTCAGTAGTCAGCTCTCGGACAGCTGTGGTTGCAACCAAGGAACAGTGATGCATATTTTTAAAAAAGCTACTATTCCAAATATTTTTTACTGGAGGAGCCATGGTACGCTCCCCAGCAGGCTTCCTGATAGCATTTACTTGGACCCATATTGAAATGGGCATATATTCCCTACATGAACAGCTCCAAGGAGGACCTAAAATAGGTCCAAGCAGCCGTATGCTCTCCATTCATCATGCTTAACTCACAGAGTGGAAATGTGAGCCAGAAGAATCTAGGCTGGAAGCATAATTTCTCCATATTCTTTTGCTCAGGAAAAACTAGTCTAACTACCTTAAACTTTATTTCTTTTGTCAAGACCTGGTGCTCGTTCCCCATTGCCTGAATAACTATTTCTTTTGTCAAGACCTGATTTTCAGTGGCATTTAATATAAGGACCAATAAGAACACAGAGGAGGGATTGGTTCTGAAAATCTTAGGGATTGGTCCTGAAATCCCACAGAGCAGGTCATCTCCTAACTGGCTCTCAGGGTGTGAGTTGTATTTTCAGCACAACTGTAATGTTTCTCTTATCTTTAATACAAGATAGAATTTGACCTGGTCCTCTAAATTAATATTTTGCTGTAGCCACAGAAAAGTACAAATGGCCGCTCTCCTTGCCTGTTACATTTCTGTTCATTCCATCTGGCCTCAGGCCTGTGGTGTTAGCCACGCTGCGGTGCTCCGCACTTCTGCAGTACCATGGCCAACTCCTTGTACCATCTGGCTGCCTGGGCTTCATGTAGCCCCTGCTCAGGATCTGTTCACGTAGGGAATACACACTCATTTCACTATCAGTCCAGGCAAATGCAATCAGGAAGCTTGCTGGAGAGCATACCATGGCTTCTCCAGTAAAAAGTATTTGGAATAGTTGCTTTTTTAAATCTACATCCCTGTTCATTGGTCACAAGCATAGCTGTCCTAGAGCTGACCATTAAGGTGGAAATGTAAGTAGCTGTTTTCAGCATTACCAAGATGTGAAAGTGGGTGTAAGTGGTTCCTTTTTGCCTTGTTTCCTATTGACCTGTTTATGATATTGGTTCCTTTTCCCAGCATGATGTCTTCTGTTCATTTAATGAATATATTTATCTTTCTTAAGATTATTCTCAAACAATGATAAAATTCATCCATCTTCCCTTATGATGTTAGGATAAATGTAAACTGTAAAGAGATCCACCAGTATTAGTTGGCTTTGACTAAAGAAGAGAGAGAATAATTATTGACCTTTAACTCCCATTTAAAATCATCTGGTCCCCGTGTAGCCTAGCAGTGGTCTGACAAAGTATTTATTGAAGAAAATCGTCTGTGCATGTCATCCCAGGTCTAATTGATCAAAAGTTGGGAACAGAGGTGAGGTGGGATAAAAAGATAAAGTGGCCAGGTACACCTTCTCAAGTAGACGTAGTTGACAGAAGAGTGTGTGTGTTCACCGATTTCTAGAAGAATGCTGGCCAAAGCTGTTGTTGGCATGGTACAGGTAAACCAAAGTCAAAGTGGGGGTAGTTAAGAACCACCCCTGGCCTTGGGAGAGGAGAGTGACAGCAAGAAAACACAAGAGAGGGGGCTCTTAGCAAGGAAAAGAGTGGGAGGCACATCGTAGCCATGTGTTTTCTGAACTGGGGGGAAATGAAGCAAGAAAGAGTTCAGTGTAACCAGGTGAAGGAAGCTTGGCACCTGAGAGTACAGTGGAGCTCAGTAGACAACTGGACAGCACAGGGGAGGGGAGGAAGAGAAAAAGGGAAGGGTGCAGGACAGTGCAAAGTAGACAGAGGAACCCGCCAGGGAGGGTGTTGTGCAGTGAGCTCTACGCTGTGTCTGAGTGACCTGGAGATACTTGGACGCCAGTGGGCATTTCTGTGACATCTCAGGGACAACCATATTGAATACAGCAGATTTATTCATATCAGTGTGTTTAATACAGCTTTAACCAAGGAAGAGATGTATGTCCTGCATATTTGCTGCTTTATAACCTCATGGTCCCTGAAGAAATTTTGAATATTTAGAAAAACTTGATCATTCTGCATAATCTCGTTGGCTATGAACAAATGCCTTGTTTAGGTACTCTAAGATATTTGTTTCTTTCAATGATTGTGTGTTCCCTGAGGCTTCCAGTCATTGGAGAACCCTGATTCCTAGTATGGTGTCACTCTCTCTCCCAATCTGGATGAACTTCCACACTCCATACTTTTCAGTGGCTAATAATCTACCAATCACTGGAGGATCTTCACTTACAAGGGATTGCAGTGCAGCTGTGAGCTATCTCTAGCTTTGAAAAACCTGCTTCTGATGTGGCTCCTGACCTTCACTAACCTGGTGTCATCTCTGGACGTCAATTAAGGGTCACAGAAGGACATTAAGGGTAGACAACTACAGTGTATGGGTTCATCTGTGAGACACCATTTTTTAAAATTTCAGGGCATGGGGTTTGCTACCACCAGACCTTAATTTAGGCCAATGGTCAAGGTGTAGGTGTTATCCTATCGCTGCTCCTTAATTAATCTATAAAAGAGGAAAACTCGCTAACCTTGTATTTGGTCTCATTTGGGTCCAAATTAATTTTCCCTGCATGGAAATTAGTTTTGCCTGACCTCCTACTTCACATTGATGCAGAAACCACTGCTGTGGGTTTTTACTTTCTTGCACATTTGTTCTCTGCAGTGGCCTGTGAGGCCTCGTCTGTGTTCCGAAGCATCCTGGGCAGTCAGCAGAGCTCAGAGGGGCAGGACTTTACAGGTTCCCCTGCTCCTACAGTGAGCAACTGTGATCCTTTCTAGAGTGGTTCCAGTTGTCAGCCTTCCCCCATCAACAAACTTTGCCATTATTCATGGATTATATACCAGCCCTGTGAAGGAGGAATTGGTACAGTTTGACATAATTTTAACCAGCAAGGGTTCTAGGAATAAACAGGCAGTTTCAGTATAGTCTCACAGCTTTGTCACTGTGTAACCAGTCACTCCACTCCTCAGTGACTCAGAACCCAGCATTTATTCCCGCTCACCAGACCGTGGGTGGGCTGGGTGGTGCTTCTGGATCAGGCCATGCTTCTGTCTTC